TTTTCTTGTCTGCAGCCACTTCAGAACAACCAGCACAGTGATGCCAAATCCAGTGGTCAGTATCACCACTGTCACTACAGCACTAATGCCAGAAACCAGTTGTCTCATGCAAAACTCTGGTGGCTTTTCATCAACATAGTAAATCCATAGTTTTTCAATATCCAGAGCATCTCCATTGACAGAGACAGTTAATGTACTGTTGGAATGAAATATGGAGTCATTTTTTATATCTTTTTCAAGGTAATAGGCTACATCAGCTATATCTACATCACACCTAGATTTCTCAGAGTCATTCTGGTTCAGGCCAATTTGGATAAGTGGGGAATCATACTTAATGGCTGCGATGTACTTGGGGTGCAGTTTGTATCGGCTCTCAAACAGATGTTTCAGGGCGTTTGCTACCTCGGGAACATTGAAGGCATTGGACCTTTTTTTGTGCTTCAGTTCAATGTAGATCCAGCTTGTTCTAACCAGTTCACTACAACTCAGGCTTTTGCCACCCTTTTCAGTTCTTCTTACTCCGGCAGTGTTCACACACCAGCAAGTATCAGTTTGATTGCACTGCCTGGCTTTGAAGATACCACTGTCCTTGCAGTCTGGATTGTAAATGCCATCATTGTCTAACAGCCCACGGGGATGGCCCCGGAAGCGCTTCTCCTTCAGGGGGGTCATTTCTGCCTTCATCAGCAAGCATTTTGAAGTCAGTGTTGAACAGTCTACCTTGTGATTTGAACCTACCAGCATGCAGGTGCAGTTCCCAGATGCGTCCTGGGCACATACTGTCCACTTGTTGGTCGCACAGGTACAGTTGTTCTCTGCTGATGAAGCTACCGCCAGAATCAAACCCAGCAAAACCCCAAACAGAGGCTCCATATTGCAGGTGAAAAGTGTTGATAAAGTCCCGAGTGATAGCAGACAGTATCTGAAGCTTTAATCCATTCATGGAGCCTGCTCGTTTCTATACGCTGGTGTGCTGCTCCCTTTATCAAGATTCAAATCAGACCCACCAAACAGGTTCTCCTTCCAAAACAACTGACATCTCATACCCAAATCCTAGAGAAGTCAACAAGCTGCACATTCATCTGTTACTTCTCACAGAGTGGTGCCGATGCCTGCCTTCCCTCTTGATGAGGAAGCAACAGGGAAGAGACAAAAGCCAAACTGAACCACAGCTCCTACCTTGGGCTTCCCTTATGGATTAAAGCACAAGCAGCTTGCCCTTTTTCTTCTTCACACTTTATATGGACTGTGCAAATGCACGTTTAAGGAATTTCTCCCATTTCTGTTGGAAGAAATCCTACTCCTCCACTTCATCATGGTTTTTCCTGTGTCTTCCATCACACAGCTTCTGTATCATTCCGCTCTCTAGAGTCTTATCAGTTATGGACTTCCTCCATTCTACTTTCCTATATTTATAAAATAAAGCCTTTTTGAGTTTCATGTTTGCTGCCTGGAGTAGCTGCCAATTCAGGAGGAACGGCTGTTCAGCAGTTTGATGGCTGCTCTCCTACTTACAAAGCACAGGAGCGCAGCCCCATCTTCCAGCACGGAAAGCTTCTCTCCCTGCTCTCCTTTGGCACACTGTCATCCCAAGGCAGTACTAAGAATGATGATTTTCATGCTTGCATTACCCTTACAAAGTTGTTAGCCGTTTCTGAAGAAATTTTTCAATCTGAACTTTGAGTAATGCCTTTTGCAGTACACTCCAGTAGCTCCCAAGTGTCCTAATGATCTACAAAGCACGAGTTAACCATTTCCATGTGTTTCGGCAGCAGCTGAAAGATATTTTCCAGTTTGCATTAAGCAAGTCCCATTCATCCGATTTGTCAAACACTGTCAGACACTTTATAAATCATTATTTTGCAACAAGTAACGACCACAGAACAGCGTATACGCCATTCTCCCATCCACGCAACTTGCACACTGCCTTGCCGTCGGCTCTTTTTATCTGTGCTGCTGTTTTCCTGAGGGCCTGCCCTGCTTCAAATCAATGCAAACTGGGCTACTTGCAGCAATGGCATGTGTCCGTGTGAACAGTGGGAAGTTACCCTGGCTGCCAGTGAGTATTTATAACACAGTATAGGTTTAATATTAGAGGTCCAGGTGTAAATACCCTCTACCACTAGAGAAGGGCACAATCTGGAGTTGAACTTTGCAGCTAAACCTCTTTCTAAATAAGCTACAGAAACACATGCTACTTGAGGGAGCAAAGATGAGACAAGTTCTTCAAATTATTCCTGGCTCCTTTATAGCACATTATCACACCTCTCCATTTCCCCTTTCTTTAGATAAAAATAACAGTAGTTGCCTGTAATTGAGATCTACAGCTAAAATAATTATTAAAATTGCTAGGTATTTCAAGTTGTCATATTAATGATTCTTTGATAAGAGTTTAGTAACTCTTTTCTCATTTTTAATTTCTAAGTCATTCATTTACCTATAATAACTGGGTTTTTTTGAAATTCCACATCCCTCCTTCAAAGTCAAAATCCATTTAACTGTCACCTACATACTCATATCTTGTCTTTTATTTCACATTATGAACTCTAGCAAGACTAAGTTTTCTTTTTCTTCTCTCTGGAGGAGAGAGCCTCAACTGCTCTAAAGTTACAGCTTGCAAACCAGCTTCAGTGAAGCGAGGGCCGTTTCTATATGGCTGAGAGCTGCGCTGCCCTCGTGCTTAGAAAGCACCATGTGGACGGGCAGTAACAGGACTTTTTAGTAAATAGCACTGTGCTTGTATGCTGTTGACAGATGTTCATGCTTTGTCTCAGCCTCACGTTATCATTCGATAGTTTCCCCTTCTTACGGACACTTTAGAGGAAAAAGAGGTTTGTCAGAAGTAATATATGGAAGAAAAACCGTAGGTAACTAAATGAGATGGTCTGTTTTCCCTACCAGTGAAAGATTCTCATTGCTGTTACCTTAATTAAAAACTGCATTGTCTCTTCCCTCAAAGGTAGCCAGAAGCACAATGACAGTTTTACAATATACCCATCACCAAGCAAAAAGTGTAGAACAGTGGCAAGAGAAGGGCAAAGAAGGAATAATTTTAAGTTTCCCTGACAAAATTGCATAAATTGCCAAAATGAAAGTGCACTGTTTCTGTTGACTTTTTTTGTGCTGGTGGATTTTGCCCTCTGTAAATAAGGAGAGGACAGACTTATTTTAAAGACAAAAGTCTTTCCAAATATCTATATACATAGATATTTATATGTATAAAAATATAGATATGTAATGCCTCTATGATGCTAAAAAAATAAAAAGTATTATTTCCTTTATCTGTGCTAAGCTGTAATGGCACTACAAGAGTTAATTCTTTAGAACAGCAGGCTGTAAAAGGAATAATCCTGTAGGAAATGCGGAGTGCATTATTTCTTTAGTGATCTCTGCTTCCATGGAAACAATTTCTCGGCACAATTCTAAATCTCATAAAAATAGGGCACGAGGTCTATGTAAAACAGCAAGACATTTCCAATTAAACAACCAGAATGCTTTTATCTGGGCCATTAAATACTTTGTCCCGTATCAAATATGATTACAGTGTTCACTGGGATGTTAACAACCAGCTACTTCCCATGCGCCAGCTCTGCGGGTCCGGATGAAGTCACCCCGCACGCATCCTGACGTCCCTTGCCTCTGCAGCGGGGTTCGCGGCGACAGCACAGCACGTTCCCGGCCCCTTGCAGATGCCGGGGCGCACCGCTCTGCCACACCGTGCCTTTCAAGGTGTGCTGTCCACCTCCGTGCTGCTTGCTTCCCACCGCCGCAGCATCTCCTTCCCCCGCACACCACCGTGTCCTCATAGCTAAGTAATGCCCAGCAGACCAAATCCTCTGCTAGCACAGCAGGAAGGAGTTTGTCTGGCTTCTGCTGAAGGCAGAAATACAGCTAGAACCAACACCCTCAAATCAAATTTGGGTAATGAATACGGTTGGTTGAAAGGTAGTCTGATGATCGCCTTCAGAATTCACTGGAGTTGCCCAAGAAAACAAACCCGTTACATTACTTACTTTAGTGATCCTACAGCCAGGATTCTCTCTGTGAAAACAGCGTGGAGAATACCCATCTACCATCCTGGCGCCCCTGCCACGAAGCACCACTGGATAACTTTTGGAAGGAGACTAAAGCAGAGGGTTTGTAAGCACAAATGAGAGAAACAAATCTATACCAAGGTACACAGCTACTGCCCATAAAATTTAATCACTGACCAGAAGTTCCCATGCAATACTACTACCAAGAACAGTTTTGCTCTTAGTCCAAACCCCGTTTTGTATCAGCTGTGACAACGCTCCCTCTAGTGGCTGTGGAACTGCGTTGAATCACCGGGTTATTGACACTGACTTGGAGTAAATAACCAGATCTGATGCTCGAGACAAGAAGCTATTACAAATACGGAACACACCTTTCAAGACACTGCATACACAGTCTTTATTAGCAGTCTCCTGTACACAATCAGTCAGGAATATCAAAGCAGCAAGCAAAAGGAAAAAAGAAAACAAACATCAATGGCAACAGTGTTAACTTTTTGTTTGGCTGGGTTTGGTTTAGTTTGTTTGTTTTCCTCAACTGAATTGTTCTTGGGAAGTTACTTATTTAAAAAAATATGGGCATTACCCCTCCCCTGGAACACGAGGCTTATATCCCTGTGAAGAAGCACTGCTGATAACTGGGACAGCAAAACTTGACTTAGCCAACAAATGCCCATAAAGGGTATTTGCCAAAAGTTACATCTTGGGGATTTGGGGGCTTTTTTGTTTGGGTTTTTTGTTTTGTTTTTTTAAACTGTTGACTCTTCCAGTTTAAATTGTATCATTCTACTTGCTACTCAACCATTTCCCACCTCCTGAACAACAACTTGGCAAGGTGTAACAGCTGGTCTTACATAAAGGAATAGCGTATGAGTCCACACAGGTACATGGAAACAAAGCTAGCATAAAAAGAATTGCTGGATGGGGAAAAAAAAAAAAAAAAAAAAAAAAAAAAAGAGAGCTTCCCCCAAAATATTTAATGCCTTATATGCGTTTGGTAGCAAAACTGGTAGTATTAGTAAAATGGATTTTTATCTTCTTAGAAGCATGCAACTTCCAAACTCGTATTGTTAACTGCACAGTCAAAATAAATTACGAAGAGTAGGTTAGTTCTTTCCTGCCAACAAAATTATTACTTAGCATCACAAGTGTGGTCTTTCCAATTCACATACAGTATTGGGTGATAATACTGGATTAGGATGGTCTAGCAGTTTTATTTCCTCCCACACCACCCTGCTAATGAACTCTTACAGAATCTGGAGTCTTTGTGTGCATGTCAAAGGCTCAATACTGCACCACATCCTCTTCTCAAGAGACAAACTGCTTCAAGTATGTTTTACTCAAAACTTTTCTTACATAACATCACTGTTAAATCCAATGAATACAACTGTAGTACTTTAACTCATTTTAATCATTAAATAGAGAAGCAGCCAGCACATTGTTACCACTACTGGGTTAATACTGACATCCATCCTTAAATGCCTGGAAATAGACTGTATGTGGACAAAGAACATTATCTACTTCCTATTGCTGTTACACAAGAGGTTCAAAATTCTCTTCCTACAAATCAGAACTAATTACAGCTTTTAGTACATACATTTACACCGTGTGATTTTTCTAGAAAGTAACCTATGCAAAACTCCAAAAGAATACCTTACACCGCAGACCACAACTAAGTAGGGAAGGAATGCTTTCTCACCGAGAGTGTAGCTCAAACTAGAAATACAGAAAACCATGCAATATTTTTAATTAGGAAGTCCCAAAGATGACATTTTAGAATATATGCAGTCTGAGTCAGCATGCCTTATAGAGATGGATACACCAAGTATGTAAATTATACATAGTAGTGGGATCTAAAGCTGCGCACCAGCAGATCTGAACATAGAAGAGAGCATAGAACATTCACCGATATTTTTAAGTCCACAGCTCTTGCATCTGCATTGGGAGAATCACTGAGTATCAAGGGCTCACGTTTTCATACAATCAGGTTCTGCACCTTCCACTTAGTAACAGAAAGAGACTAACATTTTACAAGGTGTTACAAAAAAGTAATGTTAACCTCCTGCAAAGGGGTTCCCTCCGTGGGATGCAACTCTACTCTTTTAAAGCTTTTCAAACTCCTTATACAAATGAAAAGCTGAAGTTAAAAATGTAAACATATAAAATCTTAAAATTCCATTTGTGTTATGTAGAACTAGATATATACAGTTGGTTTTTTTTTAAATAAGAATCGAGTCCATTGTCACCCCTCTAGATGTAAACTCAAGGTCTTGCTTGCTTCATGTTCTCAAATACATTTTAGACCTCTCTGAGAAACTTTGCCCAAGATAAATCTGTGTAAATAGTAATAACTGTATACGAGTCAAGTTTCCTCATGAATCAGAAAGCAAAATTTTAAGCACATTATTTCTATAAAGATTCACAGTGATATAGCTCATGAAACATTTCCAAGTTGCAATCAAGAAACTTCTCAATCAAGATCAATCTGTTTATGACTAAGTTATCTGAATATAGACTTGCATGAAATTATAACTGAAGAACTGATAGAAACCAATGTGTTTTCTTATTGAGCTGCACATTACAGAGAAGACTCTGGATATAAAAGTTGGTGGGTTTGGTTTTTTTCTTTAAATTAAAGACAAATACTTTTCTGCTTGTTGCACTCAGTTTGCCATCAATCAAGAGCTCTTGTTTCCACAGGAAACAGTGGCAATTAGAAGTGGACAAATCACAATGATCTGGCGGAACAACATAACATCTCCCCATAGAACGGAAGATCAGAAAGACCGCAACCTGTAATAAGACAGGAGTTACCATTTCCACTGGAAACAAGCACAACCACTGCTGAGAAGTCATGAAAACTTGCCAGCTTTTTCTCCCCAATATAGAAGCAAGATGGCAAAGAACATGCCAAAAAGCTACTTGACCACGGGGATCAATGGGCAGGGAATAAAAATCAAATGACATATTAAACTACAACTGAATAAAACTTTAGACTGGATATCAGGAAAGTTTGAAGTCAATGAGCTACAAAATTTTCATTTCAGTTAAGTTTCTCTTTTGTGAATTCATTCAAACTTACAATCTCTAAAGCGTCAAGGAACAAATTCATTCCAAGTTAGATGTGTACTGGTTAAAAAAACAGAGAAAATTCCCAAAGTGAAAGACTTGAGAGAGGACAAACTCTCCTCGAAGACTGAAGCACAGTATTCTTGCCAGGTGGTCCTTCTTCCCAAATGGCAGGCTGTTGGTCAATCAATTAATTCTGTGGCACTCATTTTTTTACAAAATGTTAGTAGTAAGCATTCCTCGTGTAGTCAGGTCACACACATTAGGAGTTTTTCAAAGTGTGTTTAAACCGTAACAATAAGATGACCGTAGATTCTGTAACAGTTACCATTAAAATGGATAATAATTCTGAAAGAGTTGACATAATGGGGAAGAAGAGAAGAAAAGGAAAAAAATAAAGTCAAAATTCCATAATTTTGTCTTGTTAAAGGCATCACACTGGCAATTCATTTGAACATTCATTCTCAGTTTCTCCAGCACTACTCTTTTTCTCACTCTTGTATGTGGAAAGGAATAAGTTTTCAATCTGAGTTAAGAACTCTTCAGCAATGAAGCAGTTTGCTACCTTGACCAACGTCTTCCTCATGCACTCCAAAAGCTAGTCAAAAGAAAAGGAGATTTTTTAAAAATTGTCATATTTCCTGAGTTTATTTATTCTAGCTGGTAAGTATTCCAAAGGGATTTTTATTTATTTATTTAGGATTAACACTACAGAAAGTGTTCAACTGTACAATATAAATTTTAGAAAGGAACAGTCACACAGGAACACATGGGTGATTTAAAACCAATTCTTTAAAACCAATTACACAACAGCTAAATTCAAGAGTATTCTACCAACTCAATTTTAGATTTAAGCTGTTTATAAGCAAAGTCATGTTGAGAGGGAAAAAAAATTAAGATGTGGGTAATCACTGTGTATGTGTTTTCTGTTTATGTCTTTTGCTTTGGGCAGATTTTCTGTCTTGTTTGTGCAATTAATGTTACAGCTGTAGTTATTTAGAACTTCATAGCAATGACGACACTGACTGGAAAATTGAAGTTCTCACTTCTGCATGACAATCATAGCACAGCACTACTTTACTTATCGAACAAAGGACTAGGAAGTTCAGATCTGCTCTTGAAATGCATGCAGCTCTCGACACCTGAAGCATACAACATGCTGAGAAGAGACATGATTAATTTGCCATTCACTCTTCTCCAGATTGAGGTTAAAACCCGGTATCAGCCCCAGCTCTCTCAAACGAGCATCCTTATGTTCGTTGTGTTTGTAAATAAATAAGCTGCACCACAGAAGTCATTTATTGCAATTAGCTTACATCTCTGATTTGTAAAAACGTGACTTCAGGTGACTTCTCATGGTATGAAACAGAATTGTATTTAAAAAAACATTTAAAATTAAAAAAGCTAAAAGAAAACTTACTTTCTGCAAACAAGTCAGGTCAGAATCTCTATGAAAAATTTTATCCATGGGGACACTGCTGTTGAAAGAAAAACAAGTAGTAGTGCTGTAGAAAGCAGACACACATCTGTGTTGAGACATCAATAATAAGCATGCAAAAATTCTAAACCGGCTATTCTTTATAATACAAATAGACATGTACCTATGGCAGAATCTGTATTTTTCAATTATCCATCGTGTTTTTTCAAATATTAATTCCCACTGAGGTTCCTCCAACATCTGCTGTACTTCAAATTTGTAGGGCAGGCCTGTAATCAATTGAACATGATTATTCAGTGTTTCTAAGACACTCAACTTTTTTTTCCTTTCTTTTTTAGTTTTAGGTGCAATCCCTTCCTTCCCCGTAACTGTTCATAATTTACTACTGACTGCAGAAGTCTGCAGTCCTGTTACTTGCCAATGTTAAGGAGGCTAAAGTAAAAGTATGACATATTTTGGATTCCAAATTTAGTTTTGGTGGGAGTAGGGAACAAACCTGTTCTCCTCCCTGCCCTCGCCAATTCCTCATGCCATAAGGAAGCACACAGAAATCTACAACGTAACAGGAAAACAGCAAAATGAATTGAGTTTTTATAACTTATTATCACTTCTGTAGTCTCTCTAAGATCTATGTGCTTATTACGTGAATAAAAAAAGATTTTGGTTTTTGTGTATGAACTGGCTGATGAAGTGGCTGACTATTGTTCTAGATTTCAGAGGAATTTTGCTCTTAAAAGGAAGAAATTATTCCAGTTTATTGCAGCTGGGGGAAGAGGAATTTATAAAGTATTCTAGAGGAACACCAGAAAATTACTTGCAGAACACAATTCAGTTACCAAACATCAGGGAGAAAGAAAGAGCCTGTAAATTTCAGTAAGTCATTTAAAAAAAAAAAAAAAGCGCCTTTCCAGGCCTTTCATAAGAATTTAACGAGATGAAACGCATACTTTCCAACTAGACCTCAGAGTAAGTGAAAAGAAAGCAATAAATACAATTTGCTATTTGAGTACATCTTGAACGTGAGAAGTTGTTCAGTGCAGAATGCATTTCCAAGAGTAAGAATTAATCTATAGAAATATTTGTGGCTCTCATGAAATACTAATTTTCATTCATTTGCACAGTACTGTAGCACTACTGCTATGGTATAACTTTTCCAAAGAGCTAGAGGAGATACCATTTTTTAAAAAGCTGATTTCAGGAGTTAAACATAAATACGAAGTTCTCTCAGACAGAAAACCTATGTGACCAAGAAAACATCTACTTCTAAGGGCAGGTAAAGTTTCTAAGTATTTTAACTCCACACCACAAGGGTGGGATGCATGGGAAATGAGGATAAAATTACGGTACTATCAGTATGGTAAACAGGAATTACTGCACAGATGTGGCCACCACTTCACTTCCCCCAGGAGCATGGAGCAAGTTTCCAGACAGATGGTCTCCCTTGCTTACTTCCACAGGAAAAAACAGAGGGGGAACTGTCGGCTCACACAGCCTCTGCTGCCGCATTGCCAAGAAAACGGGAAACCTTGGAGTTTGGATGCAGAAATCAGGACTTAAATGGGGGCGGGGGGGGGGAGAGATGAGGCAGCTACCATAACCACAGACTGTTATCATGGGAATTTTCCTCAAATTAGTGTCAGGGAAGGAGCAGAAGATCTGATCATCACTTGAAATACCACAGGTTTTATACAAGAGGTTCTTAACTATTCAAGAAAGGAAAACATCCCGTTTTCATGAAATGCCGATGACATTTTTGATCAAGAACTTGTTGCCTTAGGTTGGGATTCATGCCAGCACAGCATTTCATCTTTCCTATCTTGTGTTTTCCTGGACAGCTGGCAAGTTTGATCCTTTGACCTTCTGAACGCTAAGTTACTCAAATAAGGATTTTTGGCCGCTATAGCAGCCGATTCTTTGCTATTACATTTCTGTCTCCTCGATCAGAGGATCTGTTCAGAATTTTGTAATGCAGCAAAGTCTAAGTAATACAGGTGAAGCATTTTCTCAGCTGTTTGTATGGATACTGTATGTACCTAACAGTGACCCTTGCCCCAACCCTTTAATTTCTTTCACAGATTGTGGGAAATACTAATACAGAAAAACAACCTTCTATCTATTTATACCTGTACGTTCTTGTCACAACAGCATGGACTACTTGCAGGATTACTCTTTAAGTGCAATTCCTGGTTTTCTACAGCACAAGTTACTAACTTAATACCTATTTCTCAAGTTCAAGAATAGACAACATTTTGCCCCCTAGTATCCAAAAGGAAAAGAAAAATTAAGACAATGGATAAAGTATCGGTACTTACGGTAGGAACCGTCAGAACTGATCTCATCGCTAATTACTAGACAAGTAATCTGAGAATATGGAAGAGGATTATTTCGGTTGTAAGGACTTATAATCATTCCAATGAACATGGCACCACCCCTGGAGAAATAACTCTAAAAAACCAAAAAAACCACAAACACACAAAAAGAATTCACATCCAAGAAATACAACCTTTTTCAAAACAGCATTCTGAAATTAAAAAAAGTAAAATTTACGTCAATTTATGAATAAACTGATTTTCAGATGCATTAGAGCAATAACGTGTATTAACACTGTAAATACTAGGGAGGCTTCAGGGTTGTTGGGTTTTTTTGCTACTTATTTGTTTTTAATGTACAGACCAGCAAGTACCTGGTATTTAGCCTGCGTGTCAATATCTCGTATTGAGGGGTTGGGGTCAAAGGCCGGGTGGGAATGGTACCACCCAATAACACTGTATCCTCTGGCGGCCAGCGTTTCCGAGGCCTGCGTCTGAGATACTGGATCCATCTCGCACTGCAGGCCTGTACTGAGACTATTGCACGGCTCTGCTGCACAAACCTGTTAAAAAACAGTCTTCAGCTAGATAAATGCAAGAAATCTCCAGCGGTGAAATAAAATTTAAAGAATTTTAAGAGTCATATACCAGATCTTCCTCAGGATAGAGTTGTCAGGCCAACACTTGAACACAAGCCTAACCCTAACATTTCAAGATTACAGTAATTAACTTAAATATATTTAAGTAGTTGCCCTTCAGAAATAATATTTACATCTATTCAAATTATATATATTACCCTAACAGTTTAATATTTTACAGAAAATGTAAAAAGACAAACACTTACTTCTACAATTTTATCAGCTTCAGAGTATCTTCCACCTAGCAGCCCTATTACTTCTGCCATAGACACATGAGAGTGCTGAAACAATATTAAACAATCATTAAAGTCCAAGTTGTAGAACTTCTCCCAGTTTTGATCTGCACACGACAGAATACATTGGCATCACAGCTACAAGTCAGTAACTTCTCAGTCACATTCAGAAGGAAAACTTAGGACAGGTAAAGATTCTCAAATACCCAGTGTTTCAATTTAAAGCAAACAGAAAATAAGATGGTTGCTTATTATATATACGCATGTATATGGTGCATTTGTATAACACTTCCATCCATGAAGCAACGCTAGCTTCAAAAACTGGAGCCTGTGCAATGCTGTGCTGAACAACTGCACTAGTTTTGGTACAACCTGTTGTTACTAAAAACCACACACATTGCTTTATAAACACAAAATTAATTCCCAGACTAGTAGAAAATGAACCCGGAAGATTTCAAAATGGCAGCTCATTTTAGAAAGTAGCTTTAAGCAAATTACATTTAAAATATGATGGAGATTAGTAAGTAGTAATGCTCTCATTAGTTTTTCTAGAAGGTAAGTGGTTGTACGCTAAGCACAATATAAAACAACTTTACTCTTTTAGAGGCTTTATTTAATACTAGATTCTCACTTCTAGGTCTGAATAGAAAGAACTCTCTCTCAATCACCTTATGTTGCCCGTTAAAAAACCAAAACCACAACATATACGTCATAATTTTTTGAAAATAAAACTTAATTCTCACCAAATCCATTATTAAAAGTGCTTCGGAAGACACTTTCACCTGAAAAGGTTCCTGAAATGATAAACACAATAATGAGCATAAGAAAAGTAACCTAAGTAATAAAGCATTCTTGATTATTCACTTGTAGGTACATACCTGTTTTTCTTCAGTGAATAAACAGCACGGTATCAGCTGAAAGGGATCAAAGGAACTATAAAATGAAAGAAAATTTCTCTAAAGATGTAGGACAGTCAGGAAACTTTTCAAGTTTCCTGCTGTCTCCTTGGCAGAGGAGGAATAACCTTATTTTCTTTACTGGATTTTCTCATCCCACACTAGGATGACTTCTACCAAATACAGAAACTTCAGTACCCACACTCCTGAATTTTAATATGAAACATTTGAAATGCATACGTGTTATTTCAGACCATAATACATAGGAATGATTTGCAGTGTTCCAGCCTGACACTACCCAAGACATTTCTTTCATTTCTAGAAGATCTATGTTTCAACATGATGTACATCAAATACCTTTTTATTTGTCTTGAACCTTTAGAAGATTTTGCAGGTTTCAGTTTTTCTTCTTCTCTTCTTCTTGCTAATTCTTCAGCAGACAGATGCTAAAAACATTTAAAAATAAAAAGTGCCTTAATGTCTTAAGTGCTGTTTCAGTAGTGATTCCAAAACCAGCCCAGAATAAATTCTTGACATCAGTGTCCTCTTGAAATGCTATCAATTTGTGTGTGTTACAGGACTACTCAAGATAGAGGGCAATGGCCACAGCAGAATCAGTGTGAAAGTAATGACAATCAGAGATCTAGACCACAAGATGCCTGATGAGAGAATTCTTACATTCTCCAAGTCAATCAAATTCAGTAAAATCACAACCCGTATCGCAAACCATGCATAAATGCAAGTGTGGTAATTAAGGAGAAAGTCTGCCGCTACAATCCGTGGCCAGAATTTATCAGGACATCTCTTTAGGGATGAGTGTTTTCAAACTTTATTTCCATCCAAATACGTATTTTGCAGAAAGTGTTGGAATTATTAGCCACAGCAACTCATGTTGGCATTGTAACATTATGAAAGTAATTGTTACAGATACTTAGTACTGAAGGTTGCAGATTTAAGTGGTTTTCTATATGAGAAAAACAGGATGTTTACAGTTCTTCGCTATTTGTATAATTTGAAATTGTAGGAATGGACGAGCAGGTATTTTCTTTCCAAGTCTTCTGTAAAGAACGAATTTTTCTAAGCACTTCATAAACCACAGTATTTCTGGGCATATTTCTAGCAGCAGAATTAATATTAGGAACTTGTATCACCTGCATTATCAGCACAAAGAAACCATATTGGACTGAAAAAATAACATTTAAATCTTATTCTCCTATCCCCTACTGTTAGCTTTAGGAAGGCAGTTAACTGAAAATAAAGGGTCATGAAATCTGCTACAAGGCATGGCAAAGAGCTTTACAGGCATAAAACAGAGTAGATACGTGCTTACAACACGAACACCTTTGTAAACACCAAAGTAGTTGTATTTATCAGCAGCAAAAAGATGTGACAGCTGCTCCATTATTTTCAAATTATTGCTTCCACAAAGAGAGGTTAAGTACCTATTACACAACTGTTTCCCTTGTATATTTGATGCAACACCACCTGTTAGCAATTAGCAAAAATTAATTCTTCAAGGAAAGTTTAAAAGACAGAGGGTTACCTCAAATGTCTGTCCTTCCAAATCCTTTGCATCACACCAGTTTCCCCAAGGGTCTCGCACTCGCCGTCTTCTTGTACGCTGCAGCAAGCAAATCAACACGAGTCAAGGATCTTACTCCAGAAAAAACTGCATTTACTTCATTTAATCAGCCATAAGAACATTGTCCAAAAGTTTACTAACACTACGACCTATTTCCAGAAAAGAAAGAACACCCCGGAGTTCTGTAGAATTAAGTAGTTCACAATCTGTCATGAAATATCATCAGTGAAGTTTTCAGTTTTTAAGGCTGTAAAGCGTAACACCTGGTTGACGTTCCATGGATTATCAACACCTCTGACAGCAACACTGCATTATTATCCAGCTCTGAATTATAGCTCAGATAATACAAAAAGCAATAAAACCAGTATGTTTACACCTAGTGTATGCTACAGTTCTTTATAATTCTTTTTAGAGGGATTGATTTAGTTTTCCTCTCAACCGATTTATTTTGCTGTGAAGTACTTAAAGATGCTACGTTAAATATGAATATGGAAATTAAATCTGGCAAGCTTTGATAACTCATGTAGTTATGAGTTACTACTGTACTTAATTGTGTACTTTAATTGCATGCATACACCTACTATATTTAACAGTTAAAATGCAAGCAACTTAATCACCCACTACCAGTAAACTCCACTATCTTCTGGCTAATTCAGGCTAATAAATGATGGAGGGGTGAGCAGGGAAGGGTTAGGGCTGCAGGGAAAAGGCTGAAACACAATCATAGTTAAATACCTGAACAGAAATCAAATGTGTAAGATAGCAGAAGTTAGGACAGACACCTGTCAGATAGCGGAACTTGAACTTAGACTGATACTCGAATTACAGCGCATGCTAATGAAACCGCAAACTGAACGAGAAGAGAAATTTCCTGAGATGCCCTAGCTTGAAAATGAAAATTGAAACGACCTTCATGCTGAATGTTTTCTGCTGCCTCCCCTCGCCACACCCCTCACCAAGACGTACCATGGACTGCAAGCGCTGAGCAAGCTGGTATGCTTCCACTGTGTCTTTGCCTTCTTTGGATCGTGTTTTATCAGCTGGTTGCGGTCGGTTATAGACAGCCTGTTCTACAGGATACAGAAGAGAGATACACTGTACTTCAGTAAAGTAGGAAGCCACTTATTACTGGTACAGAGCAAAGAATGACATAGATAAGTGGTAATGACAAATGCCATAAAGAAAAAAGCAACAACAAAAAACCCCCGCAGTGAAAAGACATCTCTTGATGGTCATATTTACTGACTGATTATATAGCCCTCTCCCACTATCACAGCATTTCTAAACAGGAAAAACTCCTTCCTTACTATTAACTAATTTTTAATAACCTTTACTTTAGACAAAATGTATTTGCAGGACATTCCTCCTCTCCTAGGTAACTGTCATTCAGCTTTGGACCAAAATCAATCCAGAGACTCTAAAACAAAGTTAAGTTATAGGTGTATATATACTTTTAACGTGTTGCCTAATTTTAACATTTGAATCTTGTAAAAGCTAGCCCTGAGGATGAAGACATTGTTTTTTATTTAGGAAATAGGTATAATTCAGTGTGGGAAAAGAAACAATTACTTGAATTCTGTCTTACACAGAGGGAGGGCAGAACTTCAGATACAGCAGCTATCAAGAAAAAAAAAAATCCAACACTGGACACACAGAAAAGCACAAAACAAAAAACCCCCACCCCATCAGCTGGTGTGCGATAAACGTGAAGTGGGGCGGCGGGGGGGGGAGAAGAAAAAAAAGAAAAGGTCTTGTGTAAAACCAAAAATCCATAATCCTGTAAGCAGGTTACAAACTCCTCTAGATTTTCAAAGGTCACGAGAGACAATCTGCTCAGAAGATCCTTCCTAGTAAGGATTAACATGTATCCTTCTGTGTGAGCAGTATACCCTAACATTAAGCAGTCCTTCAACATTAATACCAAAATAGGCTACAGCCATACAGGTTGGAACACAGCTATACTCAACACAGTCCAAACAAAGATTCTCTTCTACAGAACTTAAATGTAACAACAATTACTATTTAAGACATTAAGAATATAGAGAAGTTGGAAGATTATCCACATGGATGCTTGATTCCAATTAAGTGCAGTCATTCGCGCTTCAATGAAGTGAACTTATGACTTTTCTTTTAAAGACACATCTACTAACCTTAACGTTCAGCCTTCAAATGAAAACATGCATTTTAACTAAAAAAACCCCTGACAATCAACAATAGATATGTTCAGCAGGTCCTGATTAGAATTTAAGTTCTGAACTGATTCCAATAAAAATACCTACCACAGCCAAAGTTAATTGCTCCTATTAGTTCCAAGTATGTGTGGATCCGTCCAATGCAGTTAACATCACCGCAGTTCTTAAGGCCTGGACGTACCGAAGTCTTATTCAGGTATTTGGGTTTACATCTCTCCCTAAAATAAAGTATAGCACGTTGCCAAATAGTAAAACAAATCATGGCAGGAGAAAGGAATTGCATGACTTAAGCTGAGGTTAAGATGAGCCACTGAAGGGTTTTTTTCCCCTCTGCAATGCACGCACTACACGCCACTACGCAGGGCAATCACAGCAAAAATATAAGCTTCAGAAAACGCATACAATTTATTTTAGGGTTATCCATACACATTCATACTTAGGCAGAGTGAAACTTATGTTCCATGCGTTACAACAAACTCTTCAACACGACTGGTGCCAGGAAACAATGAATTACTTGGAAGTACTATGATACTGTTAAACTGATAGAAGAATGTCTGCATTAGATTTGTCTAAACAGCTCATATAATCATAGGATTCCTTGGTGTAATAAATAAGCCTGTTTTCACTCTCTATGCACTTACAACTTGCTTTTAAACTGATACTGAATCATTTCAGTTCAACACTTCTCTGGTATGAAATTTTAGAGTTTCTTTACAACTAGAATAAGCTGTCAATACAGAAGACAACTGAATGAGAACAGAGTTAAACTCAGCAATTTGCTCTACTTAAAAGCAAGCTAACCAACACAACAAGCCCACAAACCAAAACTAGTAACAGAACAAACTGTATTTTGAGCCTGCTACCACAAATCACTAAGGTTCCTTAAACTGATTCTTTGGAGATGGAACATAAAATATTCAAGTGTACAAGCACTACTCCACATTGATTCTTAATTTGAAGTATTTTTTTGGTCAACACTTTGCTCTAGCACAGACTATTTCTTCTAGCTGCCGTTCTGTAAAGGCAGTACACAATGCTGCAGACCTCATTACAGAATTAATTTAATCGTTTATTTTGAGGGACCATTTATTAAAACCGTATATGCATTCTTACATATAGGATGACACAAATTGGAAGAAAATAACTTAACCAAAATGGATGCAGCTCATTCTGATATAGGACACGCATTTCCATAATGCTTCAAAGTATTTTCATTGCTTAGCTTCCAGAATGCCAGAAAAAAAACTGGGAAGATGCAAAAGCAGCATTAATAATCAGTGCTGTTCACTGGCAATCTTTATAATGAGACCATAAAATTAATTTTACTCTTTTCAGAAGTAAGCTATTAGTACTAAGTAGTGTTTTAACTACAACAAAGCAGGACATGAGTCATCTCAATCATTTATTTCAGTAAATGAAATTAATGCATCTTACCATTGATCCAAAATATAATTCCTAATTTTCAAATAACGCTCTGGTGTTTTGGCCTGGCGCCCTTCAAAAAATTCAGGAATAGCTTGCTTTTCTTCTTCCAGAATGATGCTTCTGTCAACCTCTGCTTCTTGATCAGGTGGCTTAAGCTCCTCTGCTTCTTCTTGATGATCTTCATCCACTTGGCAGGGGGAAGGAAAAAGCAATCCATTATCAGCCAAGTCTCTCTGTTCCTCATTACGCTCCTGATCAGTTACTCGTTTAGTACCACTAGATGTTACTAGTCTGCCTTGTTCAGCTTTCTCAACAGAATTATTGTATTGCTGGTAATCTAGGTTCACAGATTTGTCACCGTTCAGGTGCGGAGAACATGTTGCTGCAACACCTGGAAATACTAATGCATCCACTGTATCTTGCTTGGTATGTTGAAGATCCTCTTTAGCTAAAGAAATTGCAGAACTGTGTCCAACAGATGAAAAACCATGTTCCATTCCCTTCCTTTCTTCAACTGGACTTTTTGAAACAACAGATAATGCAGATTTTCCAGTTTCTTGCTGGAAGGTAGGAGAAAGTAGTTCATCCATGTCATCAGTTATGTCTACTTCTTCATCATCTGATAGCTTTTCAATTTTCACTGCATTCAGATTGGGATCTGCACGGCCTCTCAAGTTTCCAGACGACCACGCTTCTACCCTTATCCCATCTTCAGTGGGAAGACTGCTCCCACACTGACTTTGCTCTTCTTTTTCAGAATCACCATTTTTTGCCTTAGGAAAATATTAAATACTTTTAGGAGGGAAAAACAAAACAATCCCCTCTGCCTCCCAAATAGTCAGAACTATTTTACTTGAACAGCAGACATTCGGAAGTGTTTCTTCCTCATCTTACCCTTTTAATACATTTTAATCCATTGTGATTGACTTTTACACAGCATTATAGGTATACTTCTAGCCCAAGTGTAAATTAACATGTGTTTCCATTCAAAAAAACCTAGACAGTAGTAATTTCTTCTTAAATGCCCCTGAAGTCTCAAATGAGGCTAAAGCTAAAACTACAACACACAGTCGGAAACAGCTGTATAGTGGAAAACAAGTATTTTCAGACTAACAACCAACAGAATAAGAGACTACAATTATACTACATTTATTGTTTAGTTATACCAGCAATAAAAATACTGAAGTCATTCCAGGAATTTGAAATCACGTCTGACTTCACATTTAAATCTACAAATAAGCATATTCCACCTTTCTGAATATGGGAATAGAGTATGTACTTTAACAGCAGTACCCTGAAAAGACAGATCAAAAAGCAAGCTACAAGTACAACAGCATACTCGTCAAACAGCCTTTTTGCTAACTATAGAGATACTCCATTTACCTTGTTCTTAAAATACTGCCGAGCATAGCTCTTTACTTGTAGAACAGTACGACTTCCAATCAACTTGGCAATTTTCGTCCACCGGCGGCCAAATTTCACCTAGTACAACAAAGCACGTTTAAGTTACACAGATTCTAACATTCCAGACATTGCACTTTATGTGCCAGAAGAGTTTGAAAACTCAATTATTCATTACAAATGCACAGACAGTACAGCAAACCCATGGTGAGGAACCTTGCTGTTCATATTCTACCAAGAAGAAAATTGCACCCAACAGTAAGAATTACTGCTATTCTTCTTAACTAGAGGATCTTCTTCACCCAGTTCAGGTACACTATAAATTATGCTGCCTACTAACCCAAGGAATCCTACCGAAATGAATTCGTACTTGGCAAAGCAAACCCTGTTACGTTCAGCACTGTACAACCATGTAATCTCTAAAGACCTTACAACAGTAGTTAAAGGATTTCACTTTATTAGCTGATTTGCCTTAAGAACACGCTCTACTTCCTGTAGTTAACTACAGCATTATGATTGTACAGTTCATAAAGCTGTATATTTGAGATATTTTGTGATCTCAAATTGTAATCAGCCTCACATGAACAAAATCTGGTAAACAAAGCCATTTAGGGGGATTCATCAGTTTAAATCTGATTTATCATTATTACACTCTTAGTAGATGGCAATTATTCTTAACACATTAGAAGTACAAAAGCAGAAGCAGATCAATATAACATGCTTATTTATATTAATTATTGTTTTCCTATTTAAGATGAACTAATGACTTCTATTCAAAATATTACATATATAAACAAACTTACCAGTCCTTGTTCAAACAGTTCTTTTTCTTCTGATGTCCACTTTAATGAGTAGCTAGCTGATTTTGTAGGTGATCGCACCCTAGGAAAATAGGACACAGAAGTTAACGCTTTCTTAAAAATATACAAATCCCAGTAACTGAAGGCAACTTCTGACAGGAGGACTACTCCCCATCTTTGGTAAAACTCAAGGTATTGTTTTAAACATGAATGCGACTGATAAATAAAATACTGAGAATCATGTCAGGTTCTGCATCGCAAAGGAAGATTCAGGGCAACACAATATTCATCAGTAACTAACGGTACGGAAAGACATAAAAGAAGCACACAGAAAAGTTCAGGCAAGAAAGCCAACTAGAATTAACAGGGTGTGGTTTTGTTGTTTGGTTTTTTTGTTTGTTTTGGTTTTTTTTTTTTTCATAAGGACCACTGTGCTAAAAAAACCAAACTAGTTTACTACAGGCCTATTATTACATGCAACAGTATTTCTTCGTGTTGAAAGGTCTATTAAATAATTTTGTATAGCCAAACAAAATTAACTAAGGAGTTGTAACTTTTTTTTTTAAATAGTGTCTGGTAACAAAAAAAAAAAATCAGATGCCACACTTAAAAATGCAACTCAATCATTAAAATGTACATACATGACTTTTCCAGTTTTCTTATGTGGGCTGCAAATAAAAAACAAAGTGAAAATAAAAATTAGTAATTGTGATGCTGTTGCATATCTCAGCAAATCACCTTATTTGGGAAGGACTTTTCATTTCTTCTCATCTAATTGAGAATTTTTCCCAGAACACAGCTTACCTTTTCATAGATCTCTTCTCTGCTTCCTTTTGATTGAACCATATTTTTTCAGAAAGTGATTTATTAGATAAATAATATCTGAAATTGTTACTAAGTAAGTTTTCAAAGCATCAGAGATATTTGTACATGTGGGAATTCTAATAATCATATAAATTACACTGGTTCATAATTATTCAGCTGTAAAAGCAAGTACTGCACTGCTTTCAAAACTGAAATACACACTAATTTCACACCCTCCTATTAGCTTAATGCATAAGGAAGTGACATTTGACCTCTGAACCCCCATGCTCACTTTACTTTCAGCAAACTAGGTATCCTGTTTCTACAACAGCATTCTTCTTTTTTGACTTAGAAACCATACTAAAGTAATTTGCATCATATTGATACCTATGATGCTACCTGTTATATTGATTACCTATTTTCAAATTAAGACTCAATAATTCACCCTGTTAGGAAAACTTTAATTGCTTTATTTTCCCATTCCTCTATTACTTCATATTATTACTCTCAGTTACAAAAAGAACAGGAAAATAAACTAGCCCATGATTACTACTGCTATAGCCTGCCTAGTCTGCGAGGTCAACTTATGCCAGAAAAGCTACTACTGGACTAATTAAGGCAACACTATATTAAAAAAAAATAGAAATAAAAAAGCAGCAGCTGTTCCTTCCCATTTTCATCTTGCATGCTGGCAGAAGTATGAATGTAGCCAGACAAAATCAGACAGTAAACCAGTCCAAGTAAAGAACAATTCAGCAAAAAGAACTAGCTATTTTTAGCCAGATCAGCTGTGTGATCGGGTTCACTACGAAGCCGCACAAATAGCTGCATCAGCGCCATGCTGGAGGTGGCACTGAACAAGCAGCAGAAGTGGGGATGAATATCGCTATTTTTGGTGCCAGTGCCAGCTTAAATCCGACAAGCTTTGGAGTAATTTTCTGAAGAATCAGAAGCACCAGAGGAAGCTGCAAGCAGCTAGACGATTAATTCAGGGGTCCTCCTTGATTTCTGCAATCTACCTACAAGATAACAGTGCTTCAGTCATCTTAACAAGAAAAGATTTGTCCAGTTCCTTTGTGAACAGGAAGTTTTCTGTTATTACACAGGAAAATGTAGAAACAAATCAGCAAAAGGATACTCTTCTTCCAGCAACATTTTCTCAATGACAGCCCTGTTTTCTTCACTAATGCTGCTGTCCAATGTCCATGGCTGCAAACAATACAAATACATTTTAATATTTGAATTCTGTCACGCTGTTACTTGAATATCAAGAATGTATAATAGTTTCTAAAAGTAAACAAAAAGCGCTGGTTAAAAACCTAAAAGAGCATGTACGTGGAGGGAAGAAAATGGAGAAAACGGAAGTTCTGATAACCTTGCTAGAAGTACCATTCATTTAAAAAATACTTACGAGACTGTTGTCAGTTCTCCAAGATGAATAAAGATAGTGATCCTGCAGCAAGCTTGAAGCTGTGTTTTCACGACCTCTGAAAAAGATTCCAGTGTTCAAAATGACGCATACACATTCAAACAAAATGAATGCTGTCAGAGTGAAAATAATGGGGTAGTAAGTAACAAAAACATTAACAGAAGATGACAGAATTAGATACTAAAACTGAAACCATATAGTGCACACTATTATATAAATGTTACTCTCTTGTAATATTTCATTAGACATAGCATAAATCCCCCTCAGCGAGTCATCTTTTTTAGTAATCTCAGCAGCAACTCCTCACCTATCCCACTGCAGACTGTATGAGATATCAGTAAAACCCCGAATAGTAAAAATTCTCATCTGGAACAACTGAAGGCGGGAGGAACCATGTAAAATATACACAAACAAAAGGAGTCAGAATTTTATGGAAATATAAAGAACTATATTTTTAACATTAAAAACGTCATTGAGTTGTATTATCTCCACTTGACATTTCTACATCTTTCCCCCAACAAGGTAAAAACAAACCTGTTTTCCTCCTGAGGAGAGCTCATACTTACACAAGGTTTAACAGAATCCTACGATATGGAATTGTTAGTGATCTTATGGCCTTCATCCAGGTTATGCTTGATCTTTTCTGTAAATAACTACCTGTTACTTTTAGAAATCTGTCACTGATTAACATCACTGATCAACTTTCTTCTATTTTAATGCAGCATAAAATCTCCCTAGTAATTACTTGTTTTCAAAAATCTTTGCTTCCAGAACATTCAGAGGTTTCTGAAGACTAATTAGCCCTATATCCCCTACAGTGCTACTAAATTAAATTCACCTACTATTCTGATCTGCCTTGTGCCAGCAGTTCAAACCTCTCTTTATAGGTAAGCATAAATCCCCACGTACAGCCAGAAACCAATGGGACTCCTGCTTCTTTCAGAGCATATCAAGAAACGGGCCAGATCAATAGTCCCCTTTGCCCAGTATTCTGTCGCCAGCAGTGGCAGGCGCTACTTGAGGACAGCACACGAGTCCAGCCACCACCTCCGACACCGTCCTCCCATGCTCTCCCAGCACCTGCAACTGCTAGATTTGTAGTGTTACAACCGCTGCCCGTTCTCTTCCGCACCTGTTCACGGGTAAGGCCCCTTACCTGTGAATTTGTGGAATCGGTTCTCTGAACCTCCCTACGCTCGGTCTCCCAAACCTATCTGCCTCCACCAGTTCGCTACCAGTTATGCGACGCAGCACCTCTTGTCTATGTATTTTAAAGGACTCTCCTAGCAGCTTCACCAAGCGTCCGCACTTCACCTCCTGCTGGGTGCGACGACAGCAGTTCTGCGTTCCCCTCACCCCGGTAACATTTCACAGGCCCCATTCCCAGTGCCCGGCCCGAGGATGCCCCACACCGCCGCTCCCCCCGCCCCGGGCCCTCAAGGAGACTCCAAAGTCTCTCCCCTCAAGGGCCCGGCGGCGGGAAGCAGCAGAAACGGCAGCCCCCTCAGCAAGCGGCTTCCCTCCCCTCACGCCAACCCCGGCCGCCGCGGCCACGCAACCCCCCCACCCTCCCCGCCCGCCGAGGGGTGGCGATGAGGGGACGCGCTGACCGGATCGGCAGAGCTCCCAGCCCGCCTTACAGCCCTCACTCACCCCGGCACCGCCTCTCCGGGCACGGCCGCCGGGTCCCCTTCGATATCCACCTCCGGCTCCTCCGCCGCCGCCGCCATGACACCGGCCCCGCCGATCTCGCGAGAAGAAGCGGGCAGAGGGGGGCGGCGGCGCATGCGCAGCCGCCCTCAGTGAAGCTGCGCCCTGAGGAGAAGCCGGGGAGGAGGCGGGAGAGATGGCGCTGGGGTAGGCGGGGCGCGCTGGGCGGGCAGCTGAGGGCAGAGCCGGGAGCTGAGGGGCGGCTTCCAGGGGACGAGGGAAGGGTGAAGGGGTGAATGTCAGCCAGGGGTGGGAGATACGCGGTGGGGGGGAAAGAGCCAGCCTGAGGCGGGGGGGGGGGGGGGGGGGGCCGCCCCGGGCGCGGGGGCCGGTGCCCGCCGTTCCTGCCGGCTCGCTGTGAGGTGGGAGCGCTCTGAGGGGGAGCCGTGCCTCAGGGCCGCGGAGGTCGGGCCGAGAGCCGCCTGGCGATTCGCCTTTTCCTCGCTTGCGGTTGACCGAAGCGCGCCGGGGTAGCGGCCGGTTGCCGGCCGCCCCGGGGTGAACCCGGGTCCGCTGGAGTGTGAGGGGCTTGGCCGAAGAGGGACACTTGTTTCGGTGCATCGAGCTGCAGATGTCGGTTTTGCTGGCCTCTCTCTGTGTACTTCCAAGCGTGCGGTCGTGTCTTTTCACTCACCTCGAAGATGGCAGCGGCAGGGCGTTGTGGGGGTCAAGCTAAAGCGTTGTAACATGGCTGTGAAAATCACAGTTTTAGTCCCATACGTTCATAAGTCTGTGTTTCGTTTCGCAAGAAGTGTCTGGCCCTTTGTGGTAATTTGGCTTCTAATCACGTACTGAAAGGAAGCGTGAAGAACCATGAGGGTTGCTTATCGTTATATAGAAAATGACCACAGAGAACCTTCCGTCAACTCAAGAAAGTGTTTCCGTTTTAAGAGATGACAATACAAATATTTTGAACCAATAAACTCTGTTGCAACCTTTTTATTCTGAACGTTTCATCTTTGTGCTGGAGTTGATTTGAAAGTGAAATTAATAAACAGCAAATATGATTGTTTTCATTATCTCTACTTAAAACTGTAAAATCTGGACACGGTATGATGAAAGATGGAAGAAAAATAGTTGTTATAGTCTCAGGATCTGTCAATACCATGTCATAGGGTATAATACAGAAATGTCTAAAGAGGGTCCAGCCAAATATTGAATGTCAGTGTAGCACCTAACAGTGTCCTGAAAACAACATCGTGTTAGCAAAGTTTCGGGCACACGCTGCTCCTCTGGTTTATGCCAAGCCTCCTGATAGGACTTAGTAACATGGGCAACGAGTCCAGTAAATCTAGAGCAGAGCAACCCCACACACATAAATTTGCAGGGAGATGCTTTCTGATCTCCAGGTAGCTCAGAGAGCAACACTGTAATTGGCATAAACCGAGGTAATACTGCATTATCCTCAGGAGACCCAGTGCTGTTCAGCTCTTTGCTACCCTGCTTCTCCCCTTTGTTCAGTTATAGCTGTGGGGTAAGTTGGATCGGCTCACGTGTACAGCCTAGAGCAGGCATGCATGACTGGACTGAAAGAGAGGGCAGATCAATCTCTTCGGGCAGCATTCTGCAGTTAGGTCTGCCTAAGCTAAACAAAACTAGTGTTATCTATTCCAACATCTCTATACTCTATATCCTTGAGGATACAGAAGTCTCTTTATTCATAATAGATGGCTTTTTAAAAATGTGATTTTACCAAACAACGGTTAACTAAGCTATCCATACGGGCTAATAATCACAGATATATGAAAAGTTATTTTCTATCTTTTTTTTTTGAAGTCTTGATTTGTATTAGAGGAGGTCGTACACAATGTGTTTAAGACTGGTGCTTTTTAAATAGGTTCCAAGTATGAGATTGGTGAGAGAAGCAAAAGACTAATCAGTATTCAGAAGTTTAACAGTGTCTTTAAGATCCTTTTTTTCCGTGGCCACCTTTGATTGCTAACTTAATTCTGCCTGCCCTAACATAATTCTCAATCATACTGGGCAACAGCACTATCCAAATTACATTGAAAGAGAATTCTGCATTTAAATTTACAAGTTTTTGGTTTACATCTTCATTTTGTTATTAACATTTTCTTTTTCAAAAGTGTTACAATTTGAGCCTGATTTTCTGCTTTATTAAATTCTGCTACTTGCAATGGGGTCTTTTTGAGACTATTAGCAGCTAGTAAATTTGCTTTTTCTCCTTGTGACCAGTTTACGAGGGAATTTGCAGCATTAAAATGACTGGCCTTGCATGCACAATGCAATGGAGTATCCTTGCTGCTGTCTAAGGCATTAATGGCTGCCCCGTAGCTCAGTAATAGATTTATCAAGTCGCTGTGTCCATATTCTGCTGCAATATGCAGTGCAGTCTTTCTCCAAATGTTTCTGTCATCAATATTTTTATTTTTTCCTGATGACAGAAGAATTTTTATGATGTCTGTGTTGCCTTTGACAGCTGCGTAGTGCATAGGAGTACATCCATCCATGTCCTTAGCTCCATGTCTTCCTTTATTAGCTAACAGAAGTTTCACGATACTGAGATGTCCTCTCACAGCTGCAGTGTGCAGGGGAGTCTTTTTCTCCTTGTCTTGTGCGTTGGGGTCAGCATTAGCATTCAGAAGCATCTCTACCATTGCTTTGTCTCCCCTTTCAGCAGCAAAATGTAAAGGTGTTTTTGACTGCTTATCCTTAACATTAGCGTTTGCTTTGTGGTACAACAGCTGTTGGGCAACATCAGTGTTACCTCTTTGACTTGCAATATGCAGGGGAGTAACAAACTCTTTAGTGACAGCATTAATTTTGGCGCCGGCATTAACTAAAAGGCCAACTAATGCTCCTTTATTATGAAGTGCAGCAATATGGAGCGGGGTTTCATTGGCTTGGTTCATAAGGTTAGTTTCTATCCCTTTGCGCAGAAGCAGATTTGCGATGGAAGCAGCCCCAGCTTGAACTGCCAAGTGCAAAGCTGTGTCTGAAGCAGGAGTCTTTATGCTGAAGTCTGCTCCCTTTCCGATTAGAACTTCTGCTGATTCAGCTTTGCCCGTTTCACACGCCAGGAGTAAAGGAGTGTACTGCATTTCATTGTAGGCGTTTATATCTGTACCTCTGTCAATTAAAGCTGCTACAATACCATGCAGATTTTTCTGTACAGCTCTAAAAAGAGCTGACTCCATTATGTCAGATGACAAATCTTTAGAATATTCTAGTAGTATTTTGAAGATGGATGGGTGGTTGCTGTTGAAGGCTCTTTCGGCCATGTTGGAATCAACACTGGCTCCGGCTTCTAGCAGTACTTTTGTGGTATTTTCAGACCCCTGAGAAACAGCATAACTGAGAGCAGTCTGTCCCCTTTCATCCTTTCCATCTGTGGAGGCACCAGCCTTTAAAAGCATTTTTGCCAGACTGCTCTCATCTTTAAGAGCTGCCAAGTGCAAAAAGTTGCGCTGGTTCCTGTAGCTTCTTGCCTCTTCTTTCAGGAGCTTCTTCAATATGTGACTGTGGTTATTCTGTGCAGCCAAATGAACTGGTGTCTTGCCTTCCATATCCAAACTGTACATATAAGCACCACATCGGAGAAGCACTTTCACTGCGTCACCATGGCCTTTCTCAGCAGCCCTGTGCAGTGGTGTTCTTCCTTTCTTGTCCTTCACATCTATCTTTGCACCTTTGCTGATCAGATATTCCATTATTGTTAGATGTCCATTAGCAGCTGCAACATGCAGAAGTGTTTCACTTGAAGAGTTTAGTGCATTAATATCATTATATTTCAATGTCCTCTCTAACTCAGAAAGATAGCCTTTAGCGACTGCATCAAAGATGCCAACACCAGCATGATCTTTTCTAGGTTTTGCTGCCCTTGAAAGTTGAGTTTCTTTTCCTTTCTTCTTAATAGCCCATTCTTGCTTTTTTCTTCTAGGACTGTCTTTTTTTTCCTGGTGCTGTTCACTGCTGTTTTCAAACCAAACCTTGTCTTTTTCGAGTAAATATCCTACCAGTTGTCTTCTAGCATCTCCAATGCTTTCATTTACTTCACTGACGTATTTTCTTATTTTGCTATAAAGTTTTGGCTCCACTTGCTTTAAACATGGATAAAAAAAGAGCCTGCAGGCTCGTTCACCTTGAGAAATTAGTATGTCTAAAACTCGAGAGTTCTTTTGTGTTCGTGTCCTGTAGAAACTCATGACCATCTTTTTTTCTGGGGTAAAAATACCATTGTCTATCAGCCAGTTCAGAAGGCGGTCTGGGTCTTTTATGCCTTCTACTAGCTCTTCTTTTTTAGTCCTTAGGACTTCAATTGCGTATGGATTTGTAAACAGGCTAGTTGAATGCATGATCATGTTGCTAATCAAAAAGTGAATTGAGCTATTGTTTGATGTTTGAAGTCAATATGAAATGGCAAAGCAGGCTCACATCATTCCACACATTCTTTTCATAGAACAATGAACTGTTGTAGTTCAGTGATAAATCTTTAAAGAATTATAAAGAATTCAAAACTCCCTCACCTTTGGTTTTCTAGTTGTTAGAAGTCCTTTGATCTTCTCTGTTCTTCCTTAGCAACAAGTGAAGTTTAATAACAAAACAAAAATCTCTGATATGTAAAGATATTCCACTTCGAAGACTTCTTCCAGATTTTTTACACATAATTAGGGAGAAAAAAATGTTTTTGTGAATCTGATAATTGAATACTTGTTTATCGAGTTCCTCTGTTCCTCTGGCCAAGCAGTTTTTTGTAGGTGCCTAAATGACCAGTCTATTAAACATGACAAAAGAAAATTCACAGCATAGTTACTGTTGCCATGATTACATACCTTGTATGATCTTAAATGAAAGAGTACACATTGCCAGCTACATAGGTGAAAACCCTATAATGTAATGAAATAAAAACATAAAGAGAAGATAAAAATAAACTGTATAAGCGGCTAGTTATGAAAAGTGATCCAGCCTTTCTAATATGAGTTACAACTTCAGTCTACGAGGTATATTTAACTTAAAGGCTATTTAGCTTGTCATTCCTGCTGTAACCTGGAGTCTGTCTGGAACTT